GTTACTGGTTGGGAATATTCTACTTTTTCATCTTAGAACTTCAGATCCTACTACGGTTCAATTCGTTATCTTTCAAATGCCTAGCAAAATAAGCTTAGAAGTTGTTTTTAGACCTGGTAGTGGTAGAACTCTGTAATCTGGATGAAATTGTGCAAGGACATATTTTTTTTTCGGTTCCAAGCCTCAGTCCGCTAGAGTAAAGTTGAATTGATTTTATCTTTGACCTTGCCACATCTCTTCTATGTTGCCACTTGGGTATGCTTTTGTTTCGGGTTTATGTACTGGGTTATTAGTTGTGACTGGTTGTTACTAACCAAAGAAAAAAGATTATGAGTGGTCCTAATATTCCTTTTTAAATTGGTATGATCGAGTAGATATACTACTAAATTCCTATAATGCAAGTATGATGATTAAGTGAACTCTATTTTGTTAACACATTCTTTTATCTATTTTTGTTTTGAGTTTGAAGTTGGAATTACATTTCTCCTTCNTAAGTAGTTTTAATAGAACATGCCCATAAATTGAATTTATTTTTAAGTCGTCACGCCTCTACTACAATTTTTTTGATACTTCGCAATATTGGCAGTTTGATTTTCACTAGAGTTGTGGGAATTTTTTCTACTTGGTTTTTGAATGTTGTTCTTTAGTTGCATTTTAATTTATTTTTATTTGAGTTAATAACTTAAAATTATAGTTTTGTTGCACACTTAGTTAAGTTTTGATAACTTGCATTTGAATGGGATTTTGCCCCCATCATTCTTGCGATAATGTCTTGTGCAAGTGTAATAAATCATAACCGGTTTATTAACAAATCATTTCGCTGATTGATGTGAAAAATGGTTCATTGGGTTCCTACTCTAATTGGAAGTGTACTTATNGCTCTACTACAATTTTTTTGATACTTCGCAATATTGGCAGTTTAATTTTCACTTAGAGTTGTGGGAATTTTTTCTACTTGGTTTTTGAGTGTTGTTCCTTAGTTGCATTTTAATTTATTTTTATTTGAGTTAATAACTTAAAATTATAGTTTTGTTGCACACTTGGTTAAGTTTTGATAACTTGCATTTGAATGGGATTTTGCCCCCATCATTCTTGCGATAATGTCTTGTGCAAGTGTAACCAATCATAACCGGTTTATTAACAAATCATTTCACTGATTGATGTGAAAAATGGTTCATTGGGTTCCTACTCTAATTGGAAGTGTACTTATAAATAAGTAAACCCGTCATTTGGATGTATAAATTTTGTAACTTAAGCTTGAGGATCAAGNATGTATAAATTTTGTAACGTAAGCTTGAGGATCAAGAGACAAATTGCTTTCCAACTATACTGGAAAACAATCAATTCCTTGAAACATTGTAGCAATGGCTTTAGGTATCCCGAACTTAGTCTTATTTTTTTATTTCATAATTGTAACTAAAAATAATTCACGTGTAACACACGTATGCAACAATTAGTATATCAAAATAAACACACTAGTACAGCAAAATAAACACATATAATAATACCCAATAAAATACATACATATACACTAATACAAAAAAAAAAAAAATACACACACACACAAACACATGTGTGTGTGTATATTTTAGTGTAATAGTATGTGTGTGTTTGTTTGTTTGTTTGTTTTGGTGTAATAGTGTGTTTTTTTGGTATACCAATGTATATTTGTTTTTTAGTGTATTAGTGTGTGTGTGTGTGTGTGTGTATTTTGATGTAATAGTGTGTGTCTATTAAAAGTTTTAATTATTTTGTAGATTAATAGATTTTACCCACCCGTTATAATTTAACCCATTATAACTCATTTAATACGTAAGTTAAAAATAAATTGAATTTATTTTCAACTTAATCTAATTTTACCCGACTCGTAACCAACTCAACTCATCTATTAGCCACCTCTAATGATGTCATTGAGATTATAAGTCAAGTTGATTAGAATTCAAAATAAATATCTAGTTAGAACGGAGTTCCATGGTTTTAACAAAACCTTTTTGGTTCAATGTACTGGAATCATAATTATGTTTCCCTTTTATTTTGGTAGACTTTACTGGCACCACTATTATCAGTGTCACGGGAATAAATTTTTACACTAGTTTTTGCTTTGTGATGGCACTAAGATTCAACATTCACTCTCCGTCAATGCACACACATGCTCACAAAAGCACACTATTGAATAGAATGGGGCAGGAAGTAAAATCACAGCNTCCCTTTTATTTTGGTAGACTTTACTGGCACCACTATTATCAGTGTCACGGGAATAAATTTTTACGCTAGTTTTTGCTTTGTGATGGCACTAAGATTCAACATTCACTCTCCGTCAATGCACACACATGCTCACAAAAGCACACTATTGAATAGAATGGGGCAGGAAGTAAAATCACAGCAGGCACACAAAAGACTACTGGCTAATTGGAAAAATATTTACTTCTTAGCAAGCCTAAAGGAAACTGGTTAGAGGTCTGCTTACAAAATGTGTCCAAACTTTCTTGGTTATACAACAGACTCTAGCATGCATATAAATAAGCATACATTGGTGATTATAAGCCCAATTGCCTAGGCAATGCAAGGCACTATTCAAATTTTCCCCCAAGGCTTCCCATAACCTACTAATAATGGNCTAGAGGTCTGCTTACAAAATGTGTCCAAACTTTCTTGGTTATACAACAGACTCTAGCATGCATAAAAATAAGCATACATTGGTGATTATAAGCCCAATTGCCTAGGCAATGCAAGGCACTATTCAAATTTTCCCCCAAGGCTTCCCATAACCTACTAATCATGGTTGAGTCTCTCTATCACTCCATAATGTGTTGGGCATGGCAGGGGGCAATTGCAACCATTGGCTGCCAACCCAGCAATTGCCTATAACCATTTTGTATGTTGTGTGCACATGCTAGCAACTTCCTCTCATGTTGTGCACATGCTAGCAATTGCACAGAACTGCCCTACATACCGTGCACATGCTTGCAACCATTTAGAACCGTCNTCCCCCAAGGCTTCCCATAACCTACTAATAATGGTTGAGTCTCTCTATCACTCCATAATGTGTTGGGCATGGCAGGGGGCAATTGCAACCATTGGCTGCCAACCAAGCAATTGCCTATAACCATTCTGTATGTTGTGTGCACATGCTAGCAACTTCCTCTCATGTTGTGCACATGCTAGTAATTGCACAGAACTGCCCTACATACCGTGCACATGCTTGCAACCATTTAGAACCGTCACCATCTACAGTGCACATGTCTCAACTGCTCGAAATCACCTCACATGATGTGCACATGCTTTCCTTGCAAGCCCACAACACCTAATTTTCCTTCCCTTCATACCAATTCATGTCTAGCTCATAGTTTTGTCTTCAAGTTAGTAATGCCTCACAATTTGAGTCCACCGGCTAGCCTTGTTTGTTTATGCTCAATGTGCCAATCAATGAGCTGTCTTTCTCAGCCATGCACGGGACTTCCAACAACCCATTGGTAATACTCAATGTATCCATGCATGTGCTGCCTCACTCAGTCATACATGGAACTTCCACCAATGACAGGTCCCACCGATCATCGATCCCATATTTCAAATCTTGAATGCATTGCCCACACCTATAGCAACCATTTGTTGGGTCGTACCTTACTTTGGTGTGACAAGGCTTAGAGGCATAGGGGTCCTGGGGAAGCTGGCTTGACATCCCCTTCACGGAGCACCCCCTTATAATAGCGTTAGTAAACAAAATCCTATTGGCTGCAACAGACATACNCGAATGCATTGCCCACACCTATAGCAAGCATTTGTTGGGTCATACCTTACTTTGGTGTGACAAGGCTTAGAGGCATAGGGGTCCTGGGGAAGCTGGCTTGACATCCCCTTCACGGAGCACCCCCTTATAATAGCGTTAGTAAACAAAATCTTATTGGCTGCAACAGACATACTCTAAGACATAGTCGTTGCATGCAACTTGAGACTTTACCGAACCACTTTGATATCAAACCAAGCACGCGTCCAAATCCTTATAAAATCAACTTTGCAATAAAAGGTTGTTTCACCAAGCACACCCTAATTTGACTAAGGCATGGGCATCTTTGGGCAAGGTAGTCACATGCCATAGCCGTGCAAACCAAATAAACGGGTAAAATCAATATCTAGCGTAAAAGTGTGGATACAAAAGAATGAAACCAAAACCTTTGTAGCAGTGCTTCAAATATTGGCATGCAAGGGTTGAGTTGAAGTAGGAGTTGAGTTTTGATCGCTAAATAATTAGAAACAAAAAAAAATGTGTACACATCTTGTACAAGAAACATTTTTTAACTAAGGGTTCGCAATGGGCAGTGTCTACTGTCTACCCAGCCCACCATCCAGCCACTTAGTCCGAGTCATAGGCCAAGAAGTTCGGCCATGAACGGGTTAATGGGATGCCCTCCACCACATAGGATCCATGGCTTAGCTATCCGAGTTAGTCTACATAAAACTTTTAGCATATATTTCCCATCATACCAACCCTAAGAACCTTATTATCTATTTGTAATTTAACTACAACTACCTTTGACGTTGAAGAATTAAGATTTTCTGTCTCTTTCTACAAGCATTCATCTAAATATGAGTCTTANATCATACCAGCCCTAAGAACCTTATTATCTATTTGTAATTTAACTACAACTACCTTTGACGTTGAAGNTATATTTCCCATCATACCAACCCTAAGAACCTTATTATCTATTTGTAATTTAACTACAACTACCTTTGACGTTGAAGAATTAAGATTTTCTGTCTCTTTCTACAAGCATTCATCTAAATATGAGTCTTACAATACAACTACCATGCCTTCTGGAATTGGATCTCTTCACTACATCTTTTCTCAATTTTAATAATACTTGATCACTCGGCATGAAATAAAGTTGAGTCCCCTAAAATAAGTGGATTCCATTTCAAAACAGAGTGGGCTAAAAACCATCGAACAAATTGAAAGAAAGGGCATGAAAGAGGATCTGGATTCTGGTGATCTAATCGTTCGCTTAAAGGTTGCTAGTTGTGATCACCTCTACCAAAGTTTTGAAATTCTCAGATGAGCTCCCATTTGGCCCAACAGCCTTTAGAGCAAGCTCTCTGAACACTCCAATTTGCTCCCTCAATTTCTTCCCTTTTTCCTGACCCAAAACCAAGTCAAGGGCCTTCACTATACCATCTTTTGTGAACACCCCACCCTCAACCCTCAAACCAATTTTCCACACCTTTTCAACCATCCATGCATTTAGCTGCTGATCCCCAAAAAAAGGCCTGCAAATAATAGGCACACCAACAGGAATAGCCTCCAACACAGAGTTCATTCCACAATGACTAATAAAACCCCCAACTGNCCAGCAGGAATAGCCTCCAACACAGAGTTCATTCCACAATGACTAATAAAACCCCCAACTGAACTATGTGCTAATAGTTGCACTTGGGGTGCCCATGGCACTATTTTCCCATTCTCTTTCATCCTTTCCACGAAACCTTCTGGTAAATGAATTTTTAAATTGTCTTTAAGTGACCAAATAAATGGAGTACCACTTGCTTCAAGTGCCTCAGCTAACGCCTTCAGCTCCGGTGGCGGCAGCATAGCGACGGTTCCGAAGCTGATATACACTACGGACGTTGGTTTCTGCTTGTCCAACCACAGGTACAAGTCGTGATCATCGGAATTTGAGGAGGGTGGTGGTGAGTTAACGTTGAAGGGGCCAATATTGAGGAAATTTTGGAACTTTGATTTGAGGTCTTTCGTTAAGGGGGGGTCTAGTTCTTCAAAGGAGTTTATGAGCAATGCCTTTGCTTTGGGGAGGATTTGACCCATTTTGTGTAGCATGATTGAGAAGGGTGATTCCAAGTTTCCAAAGAGGACCCCACTAGGCAAATCTCCAAGGCGTAGTTCAGAAAATCCAGGAATGAATGTAAGGATTTCATCTTCACGTCCTGCAGTGCCTGGATTTATTTCATGAAAAACTAAAGTGGTCAGATTAACTATAATAAAAATAAATAAATAAAAACGCATTGTTCTTTAACAGAGTTTTGAAGAACCAACTGTGATCTACGAAAACGAGTTCCGATTGTGCTTGACCTGGTATTAGATGAATTCTTATAAATTTGGAGTATTTCCTCTGGTTTTTGCAAATATTTTGATCCAATATGATTTCTAGTGTTTGAAGTTTACAAGTGGTGGGTTCGGCCAATTTTAGTATAATTGTGGGCTCTTATTTGAGATAGAATGGGTTAAATACTTAGTATTTAATAAATTAGTGAGGTTAGTATCATAATATACAAAATAATTAATAAAATAGGTCAAGTTAGAATTTACTTAGTTCTCAAAATGCATACAAAATAATCATATGGTTCAAATACACAATCCTCATTATTAAAGATTCCCATGTATGCCTCAATAGGTTCCATTCCCTGAGTTTTCACTTACATATTATACATATGCTATAATTAGATTTAAATTTCACAATTCTGTTTACTTTTATTGATATTTTATTTTATTATTATCATTTTTTTTTTGTGCATTCATGAATGATTTTCAAGAAAACTTGGATCAGAGAACTTCGTATTATTACTTAACTACCAAGAGGCCAGCTTATGATATTACCAAAACTCAAGGGCCGACACTATAATTAATCTTTGTGAGGTACTTACTGGTCCCTCCAAAGGTGTCCCTGATGAAGTCGGTGTAAAAATGAATGGACAGCGAAGAAGCACCAGAAGTCCAAAGCGGCACCCATGGAATACCCATCTCTTCCGCCAACTCGCCGGAAAACCACAGAAACGCGTCGGCCACCAAGCAGCCGACTCTCCTCCCTATCTCCGCCTCAGCATCCGCCACACCTTTTCTGAACTCCTCCTGCGCCACCTTGAGGAACAATTCAATGTCCTCCTGTGGTCTCCCGGCAAACACATACCCCTCTGCGACACCATCAGACACGTCGTAGGGCTTGATGTTTTCTGGGGTTGGTGCCGAGAACAATGAACGGTTGGATTTGGCTGTGCTAAAGAATGAAAATGTCACCGCCGGGGCCGCAGTGGCCAGGCGGCGGAGAAGGCCTAGGAGAAGGCTTGCGTGGGAGGCGAATGGGAATGCAAGCACCGCAACGTGGCGGTTTGGGGTGGTTTTAGCCATTGACATGGTGGGTATACCTGAGTGTATGTATTTTCTTGGTGGCCCGAGCTAAATCCGTGAGTATGAAACAATTCCATGATGCTGTGGTGCATTAAATAATGCATTTAGGCTTGCACATTGGACAAGTGGAGGAGAAATGTTGTTGGGATATAATTTTCATCACAAAATTCACATCACGTAATTTTATTGAACTGAATTTCAATTGCTAAACTTGGATGCAACTTGACTAAGTCCTAGCATTAGCTGTAAAAATACTAGTTCTATATAATTTGAAATCTATTTATATTCCTGGTTTTATTCCTCAATTAAGTCTCCATGACATTTGAATAGTCCGATCAAATATTACTGAGACTTAAAAATCGGATCTAATTTATTGACATAATAACGTAATTTCATTGTAACATTAAATTAACATCATGTTATAATGTTTAATAGGTCTAACAGTCAATTCAAAANTGAGCAATGCCTTTGCTTTGGGGAGGATTTGACCCATTTTGTGTAGCATGATTGAGAAGGGTGATTCCAAGTTTCCAAAGAGGACCCCACTAGGCAAATCTCCAAGGCGTAGTTCAGAAAATCCAGGAATGAATGTAAGGATTTCATCTTCACGTCCTGCAGTGCCTGAATTTATTTCATGAAAAACTAAAGTGGTCAGATTAACTATAATAAAAATAAATAAATAAAAACGCATTGTTCTTTAACAGAGTTTTGAAGAACCAACTGTGATCTACGAAAACGAGTTCCGATTGTGCTTGACCTGGTATTAGATGAATTCTTATAAATTTGGAGTATTTCCTCTGGTTTTTGCAAATATTTTGATCCAATATGATTTCTAGTGTTTGAAGTTTACAAGTGGTGGGTTCGGCCAATTTTAGTATAATTGTGGGCTCTTATTTGAGATAGAATGGGTTAAATACTTAGTATTTAATAAATTAGTGAGGTTAGTATCATAATATACAAAATAATTAATAAAATAGGTCAAGTTAGAATTTACTTAGTTCTCAAAATGCATACAAAATAATCATATGGTTCAAATACACAATCCTCATTATTAAAGATTCCCATGTATGCCTCAATAGGTTCCATTCCCTGAGTTTTCACTTACATATTATACATATGCTATAATTAGTTTTAAATTTCACAATTCTGTTTACTTTTATTGATATTTTATTTTATTATTATCATTTTTTTTTTGTGCATTCATGAATGATTTTCAAGAAAACTTGGATCAGAGAACTTCGTATTATTACTTAACTACCAAGAGGCCAGCTTATGATATTACCAAAACTCAAGGGCCGACACTATAATTAATCTTTGTGAGGTACTTACTGGTCCCTCCAAAGGTGTCCCTGATGAAGTCGGTGTAAAAATGAATGGACAGCGAAGAAGCACCAGAAGTCCAAAGCGGCACCCATGGAATACCCATCTCCTCCGCCAACTCGCCGGAAAACCACAGAAACGCGTCGGCCACCAAGCAGCCGACTCTCCTCCCTATCTCCGCCTCAGCATCCGCCACACCTTTTCTGAACTCCTCCTGCGCCACCTTGAGGAACAATTCAATGTCCTCCTGTGGTCTCCCGGCAAACACATACCCCTCTGCGACACCATCAGACACGTCGTAGGGCTTGATGTTTTCTGGGGTTGGTGCCGAGAACAATGAACGGTTGGATTTGGCTGTGCTAAAGAATGAAAATGTCACCGCCGGGGCCGCAGTGGCCAGGCGGCGGAGAAGGCCTAGGAGAAGGCTTGCGTGGGAGGCGAATGGGAATGCAAGCACCGCAACGTGGCGGTTTGGGGTGGTTTTAGCCATTGACATGGTGGGTATACCTGAGTGTATGTATTTTCTTGGTGGCCCGAGCTAAATCCGTGAGTATGAAACAATTCCATGATGCTGTGGTGCATTAAATAATGCATTTAGGAGTGGAGGAGAAATGTTGTTGGGATATAATTTTCATCACAAAATTCACATCACGTAATTTTATTGAACTGAATTTCAATTGCTAAACTTGGATGCAACTTGACTAAGTCCTAGCATTAGCTGTAAAAATACTAGTTCTATATAATTTGAAATCTATTTATATTCCTGGTTTTATTCCTCAATTAAGTCTCCATGACATTTGAATAGTCCGATCAAATATTACTGAGACTTAAAAATCGGATCTAATTTATTGACATAATAACGTAATTTCATTGTAACATTAAATTAACATCATGTTATAATGTTTAATAGGTCTAACAGTCAATTCAAAAATTTTAATGAATTACATCAATAAATTATATCACAATAATATTGCTATTTAAATTTTACTAATTTCGATCGGATTTCACTATGCACCTCGCCATTCATTGGGATTTGTGAATGATTCTCTTTGAGTTCCTTTCGAGAATCAGTGAAGCCTAATAACTTTGAGTAAATGATTTATAATTAATAAAAATTAATTGACAAATTAGGAAATGGAGAAGACCAAAGTATTAGGTCACCTAAATAAAGGTGAGAGAAAATGCATAATAAAGGTAGAATAGGGGTTGGCTGGTGCAACGTAGAATGGTTGGCATGGAAAGTTGGATCAATTTTATTAAAAGGTTGGTTGATGGGTGTTGTGAGGGAAGGAAGGGAGTGAGATCCAACAATATATTTTTTGTTTAATTTTATTATTATCATATCATCTATTATGTATATAACTGAGTCTCCACTCGTCAAGAATTTTTTAAGAAAATAAATTTGTTAAAATTAGTATGAATCTTAGAGAAAGTGATATACTTTTATTGGATTGGGGATTGTTCGAATTAATCTTCGGCCAAAAAATTAAGTCCCGATAATATTATAGTTTGGTGATGGGGTAGAGGAAGTTGGGGATCATACACATTACACGTAGTGAATGCATACACCACACGTACTTCAATTTTCCTATACCCTCAATAATGTTGATGTTTTCTTGGATAAAATATAGTAACACCCCTTTAGATAGACATAATTAAGAGCATCAGGACCTCTATGTTTTCTTAAATAACACTGCTATCCTTATGGTTGATATCTCAATTCTAGTTTGTAATACCATAACTGTCCATGGCTGACAGGACAAAAATTATTGATGCTTTAATTAAGGATGTTCTAATTTTTTATTATCCGAATATTTTGACTCTAATTGATCCTATTATATCCTATTGATCGGTTACCGCAAAAAATTAGGTAAGAATACAAAATACCCATAAAAATTCCGTCTTCCTACCCAATCGTATATATCTGTGTGTGTGTGTGTGCGCGCGTGCGCGCGCGTGTCTGTTAAATTTTTAACATTATTGTCTTAGTTAATTGATGCAAATTGTTTAATTAAATTGTTATGATCCAAAAATTAATAACTAAAAAATATTGTGATCACTCGATTTTTTTACCCAACTTTCTACCCAATTGTTTTGAACAAAATTTGGGTAGGAATAATACACTAAATTGGGTAAGGTAGACCAAGAAAAATCTCTTATGCAAAGTATCGAGTAAGAAGATAGAATGTCATAATTTCTACCGTAAAGTAGACTGAACATCCCTAATTATTACTATTTAAATAGTTATAATTAAGAGAATATCCTTTATATTTTCTGAAATGATACTACTATCCTTGTAGTTGAGATCTCCACTTCATTTAGTACTCCTATGTCCTACACCGAGTATCCATAGGGGTAAAAATATTAATAATGCTATGTATCAAATTTATGCATTAAATAATGTGAGTTGCTCGATTAGTGGTCTCATTAGCTCTGACTATATATCCAATGAAAAGTTATGCTATGAAAATTTGATAAGCATAACATTTTTCTCTAATGAATGTGGTATTGTCATATCTTTTTTTTCTAAAATACTAATATTACTCTTCTTAGTTATACGTGCAATGCGGATATTTTCTCCACAATACACCAATCCCCCAAATATGTATACAAATTGGGAAAAAAAATCTCTTTTTTCACTTAAACACCACCACCATCACTCTTCCAAATTCACCAAATTTCATTCATCCACTCCTACTTTCAACATCCGCCTAAACAAGTGTGCGTGCACATTTAGATTAAAAAATTTGACACGAAAATAACACGTACCGAAAATAATTTGACACGAAAATAACACGACCGAAAATGACACGACACAAAAATAATATGACACGACACGACTGACACCCCTATAATTATTCTTTGATTCAATGAAACTCTAATGTTTATTATCAAAAAAAAAGAATTGAGACAATTACTATTTTTGTTTTTTAATACCTATCTATATATATAAAAGTAAAACAATCAAATTATGGAGTAGAGGCCTTGATAAGACTTCCCTCCCTAAATATTTAATTACTAAAATTTTAAAATATTTAAATAGCTCATTCTAATGAAATTATTATGAGTCTTTTGTAAACACTCTGGCCACTTTTTTAAACTACTTTAAATTTAAATTTTTAATCATCTTTCTTTACTATTTCAAATACAAAATATATATATCATTCTAAGACGGTAATAATAATTATTCAGTAATGATAGAGTTAGTGAGGATTTGATGGTAGAGTAATTGGTAGGACGAGATTATAAATTGGGGACATTTCAATGACACACCTGAAAAATAGCCTAATTACAGGCATCCTTATAATTTTTGAAATATCACTGCCATCTCCTTCCATTTCACATACCACCCCCACCGTCAGAGGCGTTACTGCCATATCAAAAAAGTGACGATGTCGGCCATTATTCTTTCATAAATAACAGTTTTAGCCTTCAACTATGTATAACTCTTATACCCAAACACCCCTATTCTTTTTCCAAACAAAGTTAATTCTAAAACCAAACAACCCTCATGCTTTTTAATTTCACCTTTTACATATTACACACAATAACTCTCTCTCTCTCTCTCTCTCACACACACACACACACACACTCAAGCACACAAGTATATGTACACACAAACATGTTCATCCAATTTGTTAGTTAAAAAAAAAAAATAGCCTTCACCACTACTTGCCCATAACCCAAATTTCACCCTCGAAGTGTCAATTAGGTGCTGAATTGATAAAATTAAAATATTAAATTAGTATTAAGTTGTAAAATTAATTTTAAATCATATGAAAAGTGAAGTTCAATTCGATGTTAATTTGATGAAACTAAGTATTAAGTTAAAGAAATTGAATGTTATTTTGGTGTTAATTTGACGGAAGTAAATTTTAAATGTTAATTTGATGAAATTGAATATTAATTTAATAAAATTAAATATTAATTTACTGTTAAATTGATGAAGCCAGTGTTAGTGTGATAAAATTAATATTCGAATTGATGAAATTAAATGTCAATTTGACAAAATTGAATGTCAATTTGTGTTAATTTAATATAATTAAATGTTATATTATTGAATTGATGTTCAATTGAGATTGTAATAACGACTAGAAATAAGGAGGGCTATTCATTAAATTTTAAAATATATAATTTTTATTTTGTTGTTGATATTATATAAATATATATATACACACACACGTATGTATGTGTATATAAAAAAAGAGTAATTCTATTTGGGCCTAAAAATCTGACTTAATTTGTTGACATAATGATGTGGTTTCAGTAGAACCATTGGATCAACACCAAGTTCCAATGTTTGATGGGTCTTACAGTTAATCCAAAGATCATAGTGAATTAAATCAGTAAATTAGATCCCAACAACATTGCTCATAAAAAAATAAGAGTTATTTTAAATATGATTAATTATTTTAATATTGGTCAAATAAGTATTTAATTTAAGATCGAATTTAGTGATTAGTCTATAGAACAAAGAAAAAAATATTTTGTTCGGGGTAAAAATGTCATTTAATTTTTTTCTGTTATACCTTTTAAAGACAATTGAAAGGGGTAACAAAAAATTGTGTTAGTGTGGCCACGAATATTTCAACTATTTTTTTTTTAAAAGTTCATTAAATCCAACATATCAAAATTTGGTAAGATTAGTGTATACAAACGGTAACATTTTTTTTTACAAAATATTGGGTTATTAAAATCATTTAGAATTGACTCCCGTGAATTTTCGTACTTTGAAAACATTGCATAACAACTTTATTATTCTTTATATACACAATCATGTTATCACTTGGATATTTATAACTTATTTGATCGATTATTTCTACCATAATGTGCACTTTATAATTTCTATCATAATTAGCAAAAATAAATGTCAAAATCACAAGTAAACTAGTGAATATGTATATCATGTCTTTTTTAGTCTTAGAAAGTATAAAATAATTCTATTATATTCAAAATTTATCTACATAGGCACATAACCTGTCCAAAATGTGTCAAAAAATTCATATTCATTTAATATAAGTATACACCAATTAATGTGCCAAAAAAATAGGGTGGACATAACTAAAATTATTCATTTGATATAAGTGTACATTAATTGATGTGCTAAAAAAATAGTGTGGGCATAATTAAAAATATTGAAGAAATAGTTAAAATACATAGTCACTATAATATAACGGTAGGCCTAATATTTTAGTCTTTAATTTTGGGTGGACACAAGTTATATATTATACAAATAGATATTATACATACCTAAGTAATAAATAAATAAATAAATTTTAAGGGGGACGCTTTCCCACCCTGGAGTATAGCTAACTCCGCCCTCGGTGATAATGATATTTTAAAAACTGTATAGGGTATCATTGTAATTTGTAACACCCCGCATTTTCTTTTATATATGTATATAGATATATAATAAATAATTGTGGTAAAAAAAATGTGGACATATGTAGTTATGTGTGTTTGAATTTGGTAGATTGGAAAAGTAGAGATTTAAAA